ATCAAAAACGAGGTGGCCTAAAACAACAGAAATATATTGTCTTGCAATTCTGGGAGCTGAAATCCAGGTGGCCTCTATGCCATGTTCTGTATGACACGCTGAAGGAGAATCTTTCCTTGCCTATTCTAGCTTCTGGTGCTTGCCAGTCCTTGGCTTTTTTTTTTTTTTTTTTTTTTTTTTAGTTTCTAGATGCATCACTCCAGCCACATAGTCTTCTTATGTGTCTTCACATAGTCTTTCATCCTTGCTGATCTCATGTCCAATTTTCCCATTTTCAGAAAGACACCAGTCATATTGGATTAGGGCCCACTCAACCTCATTTTAATTTGATGCTCACAGCAAAGAACCTATTTCCCAATTCACATCCTGAAGTACTAGCGATTAGGACTTCAACGTATCTTTGAGGTGAGAGGGGCAAAGGGGGATAAGACAGAGCACAGTTCAACCCATAACAGTTTAGTTGGTATATCTGAGTTTAGACAACTAGTTTGTTAGATTTTTATGTTTCGGTTTGGTTTGGTTTTGTCCTAAAAAGAGAGACTCTCATCAGGATACAGATAAAAATAAAAATCCATTTATAAAGATTATGGCAGGAAGAAGAACCTGAATGTTGAAATTAAAAACTATGAAATTTCCTTTAAAAAGTAAAGTTATTAGGTTGAAAATATTGAAAAGTTTAACTACTTTTTACCTATAAAAAATGTCAAGTTCTTATGTTCCAAATAAATTAATGGAGTAGAAAGAAATATCAAAGAAGATGGGGAACAAAGAAAAGGCAGGATGCTGCGTAGGAGCTGGACAAAAACAGGAAATAAAATTTCAAGTAAAATAATGTTCTCGTTAGCATCTTAATTTTTAGAATTTGTTAACAATATAATAATATCTAAAAATAATTTATCTATACTATCATTTGTCCTCTCTCATTTGATTAAGTCATCCGATATACTAAAAATTTGTAATCTAATACATCATATCTGTTTCAATGAAATAATGTTGCAACAATATTGCAGATTTATTTGAAAGGTTTATTGCTATCCATCTTTGGAAGGGAGGCAAAATAAACCTCTCAATTAAAGAGAAACTTAAAAGTTTCATATCCTTACAAGGAAAATGCAAAAACGTTCAAGTCACATCACAGTTGCTAAAAGCTAAAGTTATTCTAATAAATAGTAGGAAACAATAATTAGGACACTCTATTCTAAAAATTCACCATTTGTCTAAGTATTATATGGTAATTCTGACAGGATGGATAAATGTAAGTGTATTCTTACTTTTTTCACAATTGTAATTTTGCAACAGAAATGCATCTAATACTTTCATATCTAATATTCCTGATGAAGAAATGGGAGCTGCTAAATTAAACAAACAGGATCAAATATTTTAACCATTTTCCCCACAGAGGCCAACTATGTATTTACATATGGATAAGGAAAAGGTTTACAAGGACAAATAAATGGTTTTTATATTTTTAGATATGTTGATAGTAGCAAAGGTCTGACCTCCCTAATTTCTGAGAGAGTTCTAGAAAATAATTTAAGTACTCGGTGCTCAATCAATACAGGTACATATGAAGAACAAGACTTCATAGCCATCATTAAACCACTGGATTTGAACAATATCTGAACTTTCAGCATCATTCAATGTTACATCATAACAAGTATTATTCCTTCAGTTGCCAGTGACAAACTCCCAACTCAAAAGCACTAGAGCAATAGGGAATTCAGTGTTTTATGTAACTAAAACATTCAGGAACATCTTGATTGGTTCAGGATAGAATGATTCTAGGAACTACTTTTTTATTCTCCAGTTCTAGGCTTTATTTCTCAGTGTTGGCTTCATCCTTAAGTTACACATGGCTGCAAATGACTGGTAGCACGTTGAAGAATCACATTAGTCCAGGTTTAAATCTCTCTAAAGGAGCAAACATCTTTTCCCCAAAATTCCTAGAGAAAGTCCAAAATTTACTCTGATTGGTCCATCTCAGATCATGAACCATCCCTGAACCAATCACGGAGAGGAGAGGAATAACATTTTAATTTGGCTAATGTGCTCTACTGTTAGCCAAAGTTATTCTAATAAATAGTAGGAAACTAGAGAAGGAGTGGGTTCTAACCCCAAAAAGAATGTATTGCCAAAAGAAGGATGCAGTGTGGCGAGGCAAGCTAAGACTACTGATTTGTTTGAACACTAACCACATGGATAGAAATTATAGGAATATCCAGAGGTGTTCAATTTTGTTTGGTTCTTTTAACCTAAATAATACTTTGATTTTGCTTTTGATAGTTAAGATAATAAATTCAGTCAAATGGAAATGGGATATTTAAGGAATAGCCCTAAACTGAAGACTTCACTCTCTAATTATTTGGATCTGTTGCATAAGCACAGTCTCATCATATCTCAGATATCATTTAACGCATAATCCGCACAGCCTTTGAGCACCTTTAGGCTACATGGGAAGAGGTTTCTAGCACAGCCAGGGCCTGAGAAGGACCCCAAAATGAGGCTATTGATGCAAAGTTCTATAGATTAAGTTCAACACCTTGAATTACATGGGAAATGAACAGAAGCTAGGGGCAGCTAAGGGAACACAGGTGTGATATGTCCAGAAAAGCCCGCATTCTTAAGTTGACAGGCGGCCATGTTCCATTCAAGCTGCATTCCCCGGGTGGTCCAGCTAACAAAGCTTCCTGTCATAAAGCTATCGCTCAGTACAAGGCAAGTGCATTGTGAATGCCAGGTTCAAAACAGTTCATTGAAAACTTCTTGGGTAAGTAATTAAAGCAGGCTGAGCTTTGGGAAATCCTCCAGGAGGGAGCTCATTTTGAGAACAGCTTTCCAATTCACATGTTTCATAAGCCAAGGGTAAGCTTAGTTCAGACACACACACACACACACACACACACACACACACACACCAAATTGTGGGATTAAAAAGTAGAGTTGAGGTCAGGGCTAGACCACAGCAGAAGTGAATTGGCTTAAAGAAAACTAGATATTTCATCTCCCAAACCACCTGTTTATTGGATTGTTTTGCTTGGTTGCTAGTACACGTATCTCCAGATTTAAATCTGTATTAGCATGCCAGTGAAGTTGTTTGCCAGCTAGTCATACAGCTTGGCCTTTTTTTCTCCTATGGGGAAAAAAAGAAACAAAAATAAAATTACATATATGTGTTTCAAATGAGTGAAAGGCAAACAGAATTTTGTTGTCTACCAATCTGAAAAATAAATGAAATAAAATGTAGTTGTTGTTCTTAGAGACCTTTAAAAGTATCATGGCAAACACCCACCATCTAGCTTCCAGACTGTCCTTTACCTCAGGTCAGGTGATCAGAAAGGACAACTTCTCAAAGTCCCTTCTAATTCTATTTTTCAATGCATTTGTCAACTATGTGGTTGTATGTTTTACTTTTTTCAGTTTGCAGACATTACCCTCCGTCTCCTATGATTCTGCTCTAACAAAGTACCACAAATTTTGAGGCTTAAAACAACACAAATTTATTCTCTTAGAGTTCTGGAGGTCAGGAGTGCAAAATCATTTTACTAGGCTAACCTCAAGGTGTTGGAAAGCCTGGTACCTTCTGGGGGCGCTGAAGGAAAAACTGTCCCCTTGCCTTTTTCATCATCTAGTGGCCACCTCTATTGCTTAGGTATGTCCTCTTCTTCTATTGTCAAAACACGTCACTCCTCTCCCTGCTTTCGTCATCACATCACCTTCTCCTCCAGTGCTGACTCCTCTTGCATCCCTCTTATAAGGACTGTTATGATTCAAGTGGGCCTACCTGGATAAACCAAGATCATCTTCCAAATCAAGATCCTTAGCTTAATCACACTTCAAAGTTCCTTTGTTATATAAGGCAACGTGCCTTATATACGGTTCCAGGGATGAGGACATGGACATTTTCGGGATGCCATTTTCAGCCTCCTACAGTACTTCTTCGGAAAATTGAGTTGATGTCATTCTATGACATTGCTCTATGCTTTCAATTGAAAAAAAAAAAAAAAGCCACACCTACATGTGCTAAATGCTCCTGGGCACTGTAGTATCTTCAAAATAATAGGGTTTAGTTTACATTCTTGAAGAGCTTGAATCAAATTGGGAGACATGCTTGAGCCAGTTAGAGAAGTAAAAAGTAAATGGGAATGATGCACAATGTTTTGGAGCACACAGTATGTATGAGGCACTATGTGAGAAGCTGTGTATGAAAATAAAAATGAATGAGTTATCGTTCCTTCCCTTAGGAGACTAGGAGTCCAGAGAGTGGAGAGCTGTAAGTAGGAGAAAACTCTGTATTTATAGAGAAAAACTGCAGTTTTATGCCCACAAATTATCTTATAGATTGGATTAGTATAATGGAAAAAGCAGTGGATTGACATAGACCAGAAATCTGGGCTTTTCCAATAGACCTGGCAAAAATTAGTCGCGGATCCTTGGAAAGATCAAATGCCTTCTCTAATTAATCTGACTTTTAGCAACTTGCTAGTTTAAGAGTCTGTGAGTTTTCTGAATGCCTTTCAAAACTTTAATGAAAAACTGTTGTCTAGTACTGGAACTGTTGGAAAACACAATCCTAGGAATTAAGATAGAGGAAAGGATCCAAGAATATTGAAACAAAATAAAGGAAGGCAACAGGAATTGTGGTAGATGCAGAGGTGAGAATGGATGGAGTGGATTCATAAAGGTTGAGCTGCTGTGAAAAGCACTGCCTAGGAGAGTGATGGCAAACCTTTTGAGCTCGGCGTGTCAGCATTTTGAAAAACCCTAACTTAACTCTGGTGCCATGTCACATATAGAAATTTTTTTATTTTTGCAACCATAGTAAAACAAAGATTTATATTTTTGATATTTATTTTATATATTTAAATGCCATTTAACAAAGAAAAATCAACCAAAAAAATGAGTTCACGCGTCACCTCTGACACACGTGTCATAGGTTCGCCATCATTGGCCTAGGACTTGCTTTTCTGGAATAACCATGAGTACCTTTGCTTGGTACTACCATGATCCACATTGTGAGACTCACCTTTATTAATTCAGCACTCCTAATTGTGGAGCCACCTAAAGATCTTAAGAGGTAAGTTGCCGAAACCGGTTTGGCTCAGTGGACAGAGCATAGGCCTGCGGACTGAAAGGTCCCAGGTTCGATTCCGGCCAAGGGCATGTACCTTGGGTGCAGGCACATCCCCAGTAGGAGGCGTGCAAGAGGCAGCTGCTAAAAAAAGAGGTAAGTTATTTCCTGGAGATAAAAGTGAACTCCTGCGGGAAAGCTCAACTTTTCTGGCAGCGGGCACAAAGTTTTCTAGCTAAAGCCCGAATATTCCAGAACATTGATAAGAAAAACAATTAATTTTTGTATATGTAATTAACTTATATATTTTTAAATGTTTAGAAATAATCTCCCAGTCAAGGGGGCTGTAAAAGAATATGGATATAGATTGATGTGAAAAGCCTTATCTTGCTGTAGCCAACGCTTGTTCTACAAGTAAGTGTTGTTAACATTCCAATAGCGCAACTTTGAAGTGTTCCTGGGCCCTTTTCATTCTCCCTGAAGTAGGGTTAGGGGTGGATATCCGTGAATGGGAAAAGAGGCCCTAAAAGAAAAAAGGAAAATCCTTTCTCACAAACAGCCCGAGGTGAAAAAGCCTGTGTTATTCCTGCCTGGGCGCTGTGGCTGGCTCCTGCTAGTCTTGCATCCTGAGTCTGAAAAGCTGCTGTGGTTGGTTGGTAGCATTAATGTGCTTCAGGAGAAAGATAAACAGCTTTCCACTGAGCTGTTGATGTTTTTGGAAAAGGTAGAGCGCCTTTCTTTTTAGCCCCTAGAGGAAAAGCAGAAAGAAGTTGGCGCATTTGGGGGAAATGATACAACTGGTCAGTGGTGTTTTCAGGAAGGTTCCGAGCTGGCCAACAGAAACGGTGTGTTAGCTTACAGATTTTATTTCTGCCCCAGTTGTAGACATGAAGAAAGTACAGATGTCACTGGAAAAATAAATAAGAATGAAATGGTAATGGCTGACCTGGGGCACACGTCTTTTTCTACTAATCTCCTGGGAGCCAACGACTAGGCCTTAGGTGAGACACCAACACAAAGCAGCACAGTTCGCCCTGTGAGGAGGTGGAATAAATACATGTCCAGCTTGTTGGTTTCTTACAATGCCCATTGCAAAGCTGCAGCTGACGATCCTTACACACAAGGCCATTTTTTGTTCGAGTACAGTTGAGGTCTGTTTGAAAGCACAGCCTGGGAGGACAATAAATCCCCCCACTTTCCCTAATGGGTTTATGCTCCTTAAGTTCTTTGTGTAAGAAACGTGACACCATTTGAACCAATGACATGAAACTGTTGAAGAGAACGTTTATTCACTTCGCAGGTTAATTCATGAACGCGTGGGTCTAATTGTTGCATTTGGCAAGTGGAAATACAACATTTGAACAGTGCTGCTCATTTCCTTTCTTAACAGCAGGGTAAAATGGATTGAGACTTTGCAGCCCTGCTTTTCATTCCATGGGATTTACAACCCTGTTCTTAGAACAGTCAACAGCCTGTGATTGATGGCAATGCCAATTAATTCGAGTGATCTTTTCCCATGAGCTCATGGAATTTATCCTTATTGCACACAATTTACCTTTATACTCTAGATATTTTCCCTTTTTTCTCCCATAGACTTGTCTTGAGGTACCTGTAGGATAAAGCACCTAATGATAGGTCACCTTGCTAACATTAGATGGTTAGTGAAATTGGCAGTGTCCTGCTTATAAGATATTCTATCTCAACGTTAGGTGTATTCTATCTCAAAACTACTAGAGTCACAAAAACTTTTTTAAATGGGCACTTTTGTTTGTCTGTTTTCTAGGTTATAAATGTCTGTCTACATCAATAAATATTCACATATTGATTATATATTGACATATAAGTGCAATGAGACATTTTACATGTTTATACTAATTTTTACCATTTGTAAAGCACTTTTGTGTCTATTGTGTCATTTGATCCTAACAACCACCCGGAAGTTGGAATGGGCAAGTGTTATTATCCCCATTTCACCAGAGGAAAGAGAGCGTAACTGTCGTGCTGAATTTAATTGCCAGTAGAACCAGATCTTCAGTACAAATCTTCTGGCTTCCAGGGCAGGGTCCTCCCACTCCACTGGGGTTGGGGTGAATGTTCAAATTCCATCCTGAGGAACATCCTCTGAGGCCACCAACACACGCACTGCAGAGAGAAAAACGGGTACTTTGCCCCATTCTGCATTCCCTCAGAAAAATATAAAAGCCTTGCTTTTATCTGTTTTACACATTGAAAAACTGGTTAAATTTTTATTTGAACAAAAAAGATCCATGGCAAAAAATAAAAAAGGAAAGGAACAAAACGGAAAACTACTGTAATGGCCCTATGTATAGCACTACCTTCAAATAACTAGAAGGTTAAGAATATGACTTTGGGGACCTGGTTAACGTCTCTGAGCCTCAGTTCTCTCGTCTGCAAAATGGAGATAATAGCATGTATTTCAAGGAATTATTGAGTACAAAGTGAGGTATTGTGAGTAAAGATTTAGGGTAGATAATATGGTAGGCACTCCTTAAGTGGTCCACAGCCCTAAATGGATGCTAGAATTACCTGGTAAGTTTTTTAAAAAGGAAATAAGAATGCTTCCAATTCACCACAGATGCACTGATTTCATTAGTGTGGGAGAGACCCAGACATTGGTAATTTTTTTACAATTATTTTTTATTGATTTATATTTGACATGCAGCATGGTATAAGTTTAAGATGTACAGCATATTGATTGTATACATTTATATTACAATATAATTGCCGTTGTATCATAAGCCAACACACCTCAACAGATAATTATAATGTATTCTAGTGTTGGGAACAAGTAAGACATAGTTTTTAGTAAGTTCAATGTTTATAACACAGTTTTGATGTCCGTAACCACTGTATTATGTATGAAAGCTCTAGGACTTATTTATCTGGTAGTTGCAAGTATGTAGCCTTAAATAGCATCTCTTTCCTTTCCTCACCCCCCAGTCCCTGGTAACAACCATCTTACTCACTGCTTTGATTATTTCCATTATTTTAGGTTCCAGATATAAGAGATATCATAGAGTATTTGCCTTTCTCTGTCTGACCTATCTCACTTATCTTAATGTCCATCCATGTTGTTTCAAATGGAAGAATTTTCTTTTTTCTTGTGCACTCTCATGTTTATTACTGCATTATTCGTGATAGCCAAGATATAGACACAACTTAAGTGCCTGTCAATAAACGAATGAATAAAGAAGATGTGATACCTACATATATACTATTCAACCTTCAGACATTGGTAATTTTTAAAAGCTCTTGACGTGATGGCAATATGTAGCCAGAGATGAGAACCGCTGCCTTAGACCTTGACATCACCAATAACTACAACTCCTCCATAATCCACTTTCAAGCTCCTTACTCTCCACATGCTACCTCCCATCTTTCCAGTCCATTCTCTCTCAAATCTCAATAAGAATCTTTTAACTCCATGAGGATTCTACCACCTGTACACTGACCATTCCCCTAACCTTGTATTCTCTATTTAACGTCAACTCCATGGTTCATTATTAAAGGTATTTACTAGAATATATTTTCAGCTTCCTTTCCACCACCACCACCCCCAACCTCACCCATTTATCTGGTATGGCATCTGGTTTTCTAAGATAGCTCCCAATGAAACATAGCTCCCAGGAATCGTGCCTTTTGTAGTCTATCCCTTCTCTTCTGTATTGTACCTGGTTAATCTCTGGCTCACTTTAATCAACAGAACATATTGGAAGTAGCTCTGTACCTGTCCAGGGCTAAGACTTAAAAAGGCCTGGCAGCTTCTGTGTTTGCATTTTGGGAGCCCTAAGCTACCAGATAGAAATATGGTGACCCTGCTGGAGAGAACCCTTGGAGATGCCACAGGATGAGGCCACTTGAGAAGGGTTGACTGGCCACCCCTTTCAGTTGTCTCTGCCAAGGCTCCAGCCCTACATAACTGCAGCCCCAGTCAATACCACATGATGCAAAAGAGCAGTTTGGCCAACCCACATAACTGTGAGAAATAACACATTGCTGTTGCTCTAAAGCATTAAGTTTTGAGGCTATTTGTAATACAACAATATACAAGTAGAAATTTTTTCTTACAAGTATTGTGCTGACATAGTAAAAACCTAAAATTGGTGGCATTGTCTATGAGACCAGACAGAAGATAGGAGAGTATTAGCAATAGAATTAGCAAAAAATGGAAGGCCAGGGAAGAAATTGCTATTGGAGGCTGGAAAACAGGAAACCTGGGTTTGTACTGTCAATCAACTGGAAAAACTAGTACCTGTTATGCCATAAGAGATAGAAAGGATACTTCATGAAAGATGGATCTGTCTAAGGAGATTTCCAAGCAGAATAAGGCTTTTGTTTAATAGAGTGGATTATAATTTGATACACAGAAACCCACAAAGATTTTAAAGGAATTACATCAGCTTAGACTGAAAGGGACAGAAGTAGTTCAAAAGGAAAGGAGACTTAGGGGCCACAACTTCTAACAGGCAAGAATCAAGCTGAGAATGCTGTTCAGGTGCAAACATGGGCCATGCCTTATGGAAAAAGAAGGATGGTCTCTGTGGAGTCAAGAGTCCAAAGGAGAGAAGCAGGGCCAAGTCTGAGGAGGAGGGAAAAAAGAGTTGGTCTTGCTGTCTTAGGGGTGGCAGAAGCGGAAGAGATGGAGGAGGTGGAAGGGAAGCAGGAGAGGCAGGCACACTCGGGGTAACTCTATGGAAACTCATCTTAATTTCTGTCTGACTTTTTTGTGCTTTTCAATTTCTCTACAGATGTTTCTATATGGTATCAATTCCTCTTCCACCAGTTACTTAAGTTTCATTGACCATATTATAGAAAGGTCCATGTTTTAAAAGAAGTCCAAAGCAATCTTGACTAGTTGGAACCCTAGGGTCAATGTGTTTCCTGGTACTGCTTCCTCTCTGTCTTCTTCCTCAGCATCTGGCACTGGTTTGGAAGCACTCATCTCCATCAAGTCATCATCTGTTCATTCATTGGGTGTGGTGTCTATTAGCTCTTCAGTTTCCCCAAGATCAATACCTTGACCCCCCCCCCCGCAACTTTTTTGCCTTATCCACAATATCATTCATGATTTCCTTGATTGTCTCAAATCCTGTGAAGTCATTCACAACATCTGGGCACAGTTTTCTCCAGCAGAAACTTACTGTTTCAGGCTTGTTGGCTTTCATGGCTTTTTCTATAACAACAATCGCATCATCAGTGGTGTGATCCTTCCAGACTTTCTATGGAGGTTCTCTTCCATAGCATTGAATATTCTTCCCACAGAGGACCTTATATCGTGAACCTTTGATCTAGAGACTGGCTTATAGATGTCATGTTCAGGGGTAAGCAGACCACTTTGACACTTTTTGTGTTGAATCATGGTGTTCTGGGTGGCCAGAGGGCATTGTCCAATATCAAAAGAACTTTAAAAGGCAGTCCCTTGTTGGCAGGTACTTCTTGACTTCAGGGACCCAGCATTGTTGGACCCAATACAGAACAGGGTTTCCTGTTGTCCAGGCTTTCCTGTGCGACCAAAGGATTGGTGGCTGGTGTTTTTTTACCTTTCAGGCTCGGGGGTTAGAAGCTTTATGGATAAGGGCAGTTCTGATCATAAACCTGACTGTATTTGCACAAAACAGCAAAGTTAGCCTATCCTTTCCTGCCTTAAATCCTGGTACTCACTTCCCTTCTTTACCAATAAATGTCCTTTGTGGCTTTCCCTCCCAGAATAGGGCACTTTTATATGCACTGAAACCTGTTCAGGTGGGTACCGTTTCTCCTCAATAATTTCAATGGCATCTGTAGACTTTGCTGCCTCTTGGTTGGAGGAAGCCACTTCTCCTGTTATCTTGACATTTTTTAAGCCAAATCTCTTTCCAAAATTATCAAACCAACCTTTGCTGGCATTAAATTCTCTAGCTTAACATCCTTCTT